CAACTCAAACAGAACATTGTGCAATCAATCACAGCTTTATTCGATTAACACCAGTTCCAATCAAAAGTGATTCAGTGCTGAGATTTCCGGATTTTATCACCACCTCATTTCAAGAAATATACCATTAAAACGTGGGAAAGGTCAAACGCGCAAGCGACTGCAGGCAGACATTAAAATTGATAATTCCGGGATTGATTTTCACGTTTTGCAGTTGAGGGAATGATTCCACTAATTGCTACGTCGACTGCAAATCGTCTCTCGCAGTAAAACGTGGAGAATCCAGACTTTGTAATAAATTTCATATCTTTTTTTAGCTGATTTATCAGCTGAACGAAAGACGCGATGATTTTCTGTCTTTGGAAGATCAAATTAATGAATATTTCATATTTTCTACTAGTGTATTTTTTAGGGGTTGAAACACTCGATTGTGTTGTGATCTCTTCAAGGGTTGGACAGTTAATTTCATGACGCTTCGCTGAAAGTACACGTTTGCCCTAGCAATAACCGCGGTTATACACCCTGACATTAACTCAGTTTATTTATGGGCTCGTTCATTTCGTTTTATGTTTCAATTTAGATGCATTGATACTTGTTTGTTTACATGCAAACTGCCACTCACTCATTCGGACAGCCGTTGGTGCCCTGGCGGGCCATTATTATGGCCCTTATACCCAAGCAACCGACACCCCCTCACGAAATATCACCTCAGTCCTCTTACTTTATTGTTCACTGCATTATCCGTCGCACTTCTCCATTATTACCTCGTAATTTTCGTCTTTCCACCCCCCGAAAATATTTTTTCTTCATTATCAAATTTATTGGAAAAATTAACCGACATTTTTCTGGGGAAAATTCATTCGAAATTCACCAGAAAAATTCATAATTGGTTTAATAATTAATAATCAGGTGGGACGAGTTGTTGAATAAATTGGGGTTGACGGTATTGTTTTTAATTAGTCGATAAATTTCCAGTTTTTTTTTTAGATCGATTGGATAAACGATTTTTGGAGAATCGATTCGTCTCATTCACTCAGTCGATTATCGAGAATAGCCAACTCGGGTGGTCGGAATTTGCCGGGTATTTTTTGATCGTCAATTCGGGGGTAAATTGCGTGCAATTTCCGAGACAGGATGCCCCGGTGAAATCGTAGGCAATCGGTAAGGTAGGCACCAGGAGCTCGCGGTTTTGCCTTAACGAGTTTTAAACCCGCGTTTAAATAAATTGCCCGTCAATTACACGACACACAGGGGATAATGTTTGAGGGAATGTTGCGCGTGAGATCGTGAATTTTCGCTCGGATCGGTCGCCATATTATGGCAATCTCTCTAACCATAAACTTCATTTATCTCGTGTGAATAATAAATTCTCGCTGTGCGAGGAATAAATTACGTTTTGCAATTGCGGAATTACCTGGTAACTTGGGTAATTATTTCGCATGATAACAAAATACCGATTTTGGCGAATGGAAAAAATATATCGACTGCGAATCTGCTATATTACCGTTTCGGATGGGGGATGCAACGATGCGCCTGTCATCCGCCAGATGGCAAAGGGTATGTTTTCCCTTCGAAGAGCTCGTTTTACTGCTCTGCACTTCGCCCTTATGACCAGGTCGATAAATGTTTATTCACCTTTTAAAATCATTGTCGCTCATTCGATAGAATGGCAATTATTCCCGACATTTGACAATTCCTACCGATCATCGCTGTCAAACACCATTCATTCAAAGAACATTTTCGCTCGAAACTTCAATTAATTTTCTCATTTCCCCTCTGACTTTATTAATTAAAATTAATTGAAACCCCCCATTCGACATTAGGATGACCTTTAAAAAACACGCGGTATTAATTTTCTTACAGTCTCACGGCGAATCCGGTCCCTTCGACTTTTGATTCCCAGGGGGTACCCTCCCCCGTGCAAAAGTGCAATTACTCCAATTGCGGACAACTGTCCATCGTCCGATCTTGCCGATCCTGAACTCTAAACATTTTTTTTTCTCGGTTTTTCGGCGAGTGCCGATTTACCCGAGAGCAATGGCCGCACAATTTCTCCTCTTATTTTTCCCGTTTAATTTTTTTACCCCCGTCCTTTCTTGCTTCATCCTGCCACGTCTACCCCCTGTAATTCCTCTGGTAAAACCTCCTCTTCCTCCAGTTTTATTCGAAATACTCAAGGGAGAGGCTCGTCATCCATCCGCCAAGATCTCCACCTATCTCCACTCGTCTCCGCCGACTTGATATTTTTTGCTCACCACCACTTCCCTCCCCCTCCTCATCCATCTTTTTCTTCTTCGCCGGAGTAAACTGAGACTCTTCAAGTAAATATTTCCCGAGCTTCAACCCAACGCGTTAACGCAAGAATTCAGATTTATGTCTCGCGCATGCGTGAGTTCTATTTCATCTCGTATTTTTTTTTTTTTTTATCATTTTTATCTTCTTTTTTTTTACTCGACTGTCAGGGGAGATGCATGGAGTTTCTTCCAGGGTGAGTTAAATTGCGGGATTTTTATGCGGGAGAATTGATTCACACACTTATTTACTCGGAAATACCTCGGGAAATGCGACTTCGGTAGAAAGGAAAGCAGAATTTATTCGCCGTTCGTTTCTATTTATCGATAGCTCGGGAGATTCTCGGGATTTAATTTTCAAGAGCACCAGAAGGTCATAAAAATCTCATTCCCCGAGATGAGATGAGCTCTGGTGCGGGCTTCTCATATCCAAGGATAAGCGGTTTCGAGGCATTAGCTGAAAACCCGGGTATCTTTGAATGGCCCCTGGAATGGGGCATTAGGCCCCGTTTCGGCAACCCCATTCACTTCTCTGGAAATAAAAAAAAAAAAAGGAAAAAATAATGGCAGGAGGAGAAAGGTGTATATAGGGAGAAGTGCCTTCTTTTCAACCTCACGCCCCCGTCGTATCCGACACGCGCCCCACGGCGCCGCGCACTCTGGTGTGTTGGGAGCTTAAAGGCCCTGACTTTTACGATTCTGTTCGAGTGGTCGTAAAACCCAAGTTTACTGCCGTCATGATTATCGAGCAAACGGTCTGCCACCTGTCGGAGCCCCGTGAATGGCTGAGGAATCATATCTACCACTTTACGCTTTGTAGTTTAATCCCAATGATTGCTTTTCAATGAACAGCCGATCGCTACTAAATTTATGAGATAAAATTAACTAATTTGAAGTTGACACTCTAGATTTAGATTTTTTTTGTCTCAGTATTCGAAAAATATTGGCATTTAGAATGCGATCAATTGCCTAATGAAGAGTAAATACTAGCCACTGGCTTATGACGCGTATAAATTGTCTCGTTACGAAATAATTTACGAGGTGCGAAAGGGGGCAATAATCCCCGACATTTACATCCCAATGAACAGTCCGATACCACAGGCGGCATGCCACCCATTTTCCTCCTTTCCCCCATCCACTCGCCACTCCATTCTTTTTACACCATTTTAATTGTCCGACCGTCTAAAACGACCCATAAACCATAAAGGGCCTCGTAAAAGGCCACTCAACTGTCCACCAATCTGAACCCCGTGATTACAGCTCTTTAAAATCATGTTCGCCGATAAAATGAAACCGCTGAGAGAAACAAAAAAAAAAAAGAACTCAACGATATAAAAATAAACATTCAAACACGTGATTTCGGAGATTCGTTAAAATGCGGTAGCTTTTAAATGTGGGTATTCTCAGCGCGTATATAAAAGAACCGTCAAGCCACTCGACACGACTTGGATGGGCCAATAATCGTTTGAAACGGCGCTGGGTTACGCCGATGCTGGCAGTTTGAACGTCCGAATGGGTATGCTAGATTTAGTTAGCGAATTGTTTCACAGGTGGCGCCGATTGTACAGCCCCGAAAAAGCCGCGGCGGTGAGAGCGGGAACACGCGTGGTTCGCGCTACGCGACGCATACGCCACGGGGCATCCTGGCCCCCCGTACTCCTCTCATCCACTTGGTGGGGGTAAAATGGGGCGGTGCTTAAGCTGAATATGGGCGTAATTTCGGTGGGGAACTACTTTCTCACCGCGTAGTGGGAATCGCACGGTACTCGTGACGAATTCAATTCTGATTGGTCCTTAAGCATAACCTCCCCCTTGACACCCCGTTACCTTAACCCCCCTACCTTCCACCAGTCCCTTTGCCTCCGTTATCTGCGCATTTTACTCTTCTGCTACTATTGCCGACTCCCTCGAAGCAACGGTGGGGTCCGCGCCCCTCTCTCTCACACGGGGGGTTTGCGAGGAGGGGGGGCTACGGGTTGTTTTAACGCTTCATTTCTCTCTCGTTTTGGCATTTTATCCTTGTCAGACATTTCAGGACAAGTCAGCAGGTAATGCCTCTGTCTCTGTTCCACCGTCTTATCTCGGTGGGCATAGCCTACTCAATGCACGGCGCGCGGCCGTACGAATTTAATCCGGCGGCACGTTGGTCTGAGTTACTGGAGCGCTCGACAGGGGGCAGCCAGGGTGGGCCAAGTGTGTGAGCGAAAAGGCACGGTGGTGGGATGGTTTTCGATGGTGAGAGGGTGGGAGTAAGTGAGAGAGTAATAGGCAGTGGGGAAAAGAGAACAAGTGGGAGAAAGAACGGTGAGATGTTGGTGGTGGGAGTGAGAGCGATTAGGGGGTAGAAACAGAGGAAAACTTAAGGGGGAGGGGGGCGGCTATCGTTGGAGCTTTTGGAGTGGGGTAAGCACGTGAGGAACGAGGACGACAGTACTCGTGCGCCTCTTGTCCGCACACGAGAGAGTCCCAGAGAGGTTTTCCCCCCTCGTGCATTTGGTACTCTCTCTCTCTCTCTCTCTTTATCGTTAGCGAGTGAGTTGGAACGATTGAAGAGAGTCAGTATTCAGCCGCGGGTGGAAGCGGGAACGGTATTCAGCTGTGTGAGCGAGAGGGCAGAAGGCAGAGTTGAGGTTGGTGGCGAGCAAGAGACGAACGACGGGTACAGAGTGGCGGTACACGGGGCGCGAGAAAAGCCAGTAGTGTGCCGTGGACCACCGCACTGGCATACCGTGGTTCGTTACGATACCCTTCGTACACCCTTTTGGTCCCCCAAGTACCTCAATCCCATCATCGGGCGGTATCAGGGAAAATTTTTTGGTTTTTGCCAGGAGTGCTAAGTGACCAGTGAATGAGTCCAATATCGTAGACAAGGTTTTCTCTGCTTCAAGGCCATTGGCTCGATTTTCATTTTTATTTTGTGTTTTATTGGGAAATAATAATAATAATAAAATTCATTGGATTTTTTTGGAAGATCGGTTCACTTCTTGCGGTTTGTTTTTACCCCGATATTCGCAACTGTTTCCTCAGCCAGTTCCTTCAGGTAGACTGGAACTGGAGTCGCGTGCCGGATTGCGCGGGACAGCCCAAGGTGGCATTTTATAGCCCGGTCTTATTGCCCGATTTTATTGCGTCGTAACGGGCATTTAGCGATCATCATTCAACTGGCGAGTTTTATACGACATTGGTCTTGTTAGTATAGACGTGAGCATTGAGAATAGACATTAAAAAAAATAAACGATTTACCGTGGTGAGAGATTCTCATAGGTGTCATGTTTATATGGACTATTGACAACTTGGAATAATCTTGAAACTGTCATTAACTCACCGGCCGCCAATGACTTTTATGACTTTGCGGCCGGTTTGACGTTTCATCTTATCACGTACTAATTACCAGTGTCCGGCGTTGTTAGTGGCCATCAACATTTGAGTACCTGTCGTGAATGCGTTTAAATTTCCATTTGAATTCTCAAAGAATTTTAAGTGAAACACTTGTGGACAGTTGTGAATTTAAATACTGAATAATAAAGCAAAGGGGGAGCCGAGCCTTTTCCCACAGAGAAAGAAGATTAAGTAGTGATTTGTGTTGAGCAAGTGTTTTTCCAAGATACCCGGAATAATGAACTCCTACTTCGAACAGGGAGCGGGCGGCTTCTACGGAAGTCATCATCATCAAACTGGAGCAGCAGGTCAGCACCACGATCCAGCGACAGCCGCTGCTTATCGAAGTTTTCCCCTTGGTCTGGGTATGTCACCGTATGCCTCGAGCCAACACCACCACCACAGCACAAGTAGCCTAGGAATTCATCCAGGCAGTGGTACCAATACCCGACCACCCCAGGACTCACCCTACGATGCAAGTGTAGCAACAGCCTGTAAATTGTACTCATCAACACCAGAAGCAACTGGCCACACCACATCATCCTACTCAAGTACAGCAAGCAAAGACTGCAAACAACAAGAGCAAGCAGTAGCAGCAGCAGCAGCAGCCCATCAGAATGGTTATGCTGCAGTTATGGCTGCAGCAGCTGTCAAGGACGTTTGGCAGTCAGCAACCTCAGGCGCCAATGGCCAGAGTAATCCAGTCGTACGTCCGTCCGCGTGCACGCCCGAGGGCACGAGGGTCGGCAGCTACGGCGGTCTCGTGGGCGGTGATCCAGCCTCAAGTCCCGGCAACAACGGCTCCTCGAGGTCCTTAACGTCCTCGTGGAACACCTGCAGTCTCAACTCAACTGCGAGCCAACCGGTCGCCACTCAACTACATCAACAACCAACAGGCAACCATACATTCTACCCCTGGATGGCCATAGCAGGTAAGCCTTTTGCATTCATAAGATCCGCGTGTGCCAAGCGTTTACGTGTGTTCGTATTATACACCGAGGGGGGGGGGGGGCGCAGCACCGATTATCATAACAGCCGAGATGAATTATTACCGCGAGAGAGCAACTGTGCCACGGGGCAAACCAATATACACGAAACCACGTGGTCAAATGTCTTTGGAATCATTGAACTAGCATGACTAACTAATTTTATTCGTGGGAGGGTTGGACGTCATTTGATGCTTTCACGACCTCCATAAATGGTCATAAACAAGACCTGACTGTCACTCTTTCTTCTGTACATTTCAATTTCAATTTATTCGCCTGTGTAAATGCTGAATTCGGATGAAGGATTAGTCATAGAACTACGGGAGTATGATACATTCATCAAAAATTGAAGCAATGGATTTATATTCCCGTTGGACGTGGATACATTTTCCATGACAATAACTTGGCTTGCACACAGAGAGCAATAACTAATAGACGAACCCGTTGACACGTTCATCGACCCATGAAACTATCTCTCGTAATTTTCTGGTAGCTGTATTAATAGTTGGAAGGATCAATTTCTGAAGGATCACAGTGAATTCACATGATATCAAAATAATAAGTCTATAATAAAGAACACGCCTCCTGGTGAAGCCATAAACTTAACATCTTCCTCTCTTCAGGCTCATACCTGTTGTAAACCCGGGGGTTCAGTTAGTTTCAAAGTGCCAGGGTAAGGCTAGCCAATGGGAGCGAGAGAGATAGGATTCCTATAAATGACTGGGGCGACAGAATGGAGTCAAGTGCGTGTAAAATCGTCCTGGGTAACACGAAGATATAATAGGGAGATCCCCGAGGTTCTGGGGGGCTCGAGTGCACACTCGCCCCTCCGGAACCCAAATTCCGGTAGTCAGCTGTTTCCATCGGTCCCTTTCGCACTTCCATTCTCTTCTTAATTCATGGTGTTAGTGGCTAGCAAATTCTCATCCACATGGGCTGTCTCCTCTCAGCTGGTCAAGCTACCGCCAATCAGGAGTAACTTTCAAGAGGCTTTCCCAACATTGAAGGCAGTAAACCGTCAAAAATGGTAGTCGAATCTGGAACAAAGTCATGTCGAAAGATTACAGTGACCACAGGAATGCACTACCCCGCGTTAGGTAATGGAGTAAAGAAGTACCTAAGCAGAAGATCGAGTTAACTAAACTGGTTTTGAAGGCACTTACCTAGATTGCTCAGAGTCAATGAATCATTTCACCCTTTCTCATTCCACCTCCACCGTATCTCTCAATAGTTTACACGGAATTATCGTCATCCAGTCATTCCTGCAACAGCAAATTGGTACAGAAGCGATCGTTTAATCACCAATACCCGGTTTATGACCCGGTAAAATCTCCGATAGTAGGTTTTACTGGTCATAATTCAGGGCGCGTTGAACAGCGTATGAGGTTCGAAATGGTGTGAAGTATTACGTCATGTACTCCACAATCGAAAGTGTAGCAAGGGCTGTGCATAGTGTCAAGGCTGGGGTTTTGCCATTTTACGAAACGCATCGCTGATCCTCAGCTGTGGTCCTACGTGCTACGGGTGCGAAATGAGACTTATTTTGACATTGCTGATTGTTACTCGAGTTATTGCCACGGTTTCTCAATGTCAAGTTACAATTCAAGTGTAATCGGCGGCTTGTCGATTCTCCCCAAGAAAAGTTTCCGGGGTAATTTCAGATTTACGAAATCCTCGTCAAAGCACCCCTGCGGAGATCCCAAATGCTTTCACCGCAAGCGGTTCAGATCACTTTCACCAACTTTCCAGATGTGCCCTAGGTGAGGGTATTTATGGGCTCATTGAGGGGTTGGCCGTGTCTATAGGGTAATTAGAGGGCGCGTCAGAATAGTGGGTTGAGGCACATTTCTTCTGTGCGCTATCTTAGACCCCCGCTCATTCCTACTGTCGTTTTCTCGGAATGAATATACATGGGCTCCACTTTTTTAAAGATACATTACTTGAGATAGCCGGCCTTTATATCTTGTCCAAGCGAGGTACCGATTTTTTGAATTTTCGCTCTGTCGGTAAATGTCGTAAATCATATTATCGATTGATAGCTATTGGAGCTAGAATATCTTTCTTCGCCGATGTCTTCTGCTTCTCCTAGAGCCATAAATCGTGTGATATTTAAATTAATCCATTTTAAATAGCTGAAATTCATGGGAAAACAGCTGAGAATAATTTCCCGCGCAAAATCCACGTGGTCTCATCTCCTATGTAAGCATAGCACGCTTCTCTCACCCACCACTTTGCAGTAGGTGTTACGTACCTCGGGGAGTAACCTCGTTCAATATAAACTAGCAACGAACAGCACTGTAATCGTAACACTGACGTTTACGACGACGAAATCGCGGCTCGGGTCGTTTACTCTCCCCCTCCATCCCCTCCAACCCCCACCAAATAACCCCCAAGTACTCGTAAAATGAGCGGTCGGTAATGCAGAGAATTTTTACCACGATTTTACCAACTCGACAGAGGGCGACGTCTCTGGGATACGACCACTTGTGCAAACTTTTATAGCCTCTCCACCCCTCTATCTCATCCATCAAATCTTCGGCTAATTAATCGCGCTCAGACCTGTCAGTTAAATTATTAAATTAAAACCGATTCGAGATAATAATTTTACGCGCTGACCTTCGGTGTTATTCAAACCAAATGACTCTTCCTTCTGCATTCTGTTGTCATACATTAAACGTAAAGCCGGTAGCGCGCCAAAAGATAAGTGCACGGAGCCCGCGCAATCGCTCTCGTTTATCTAAATTACGTGCTTACGAAAAAAGAGAAAAAAATTATCGATGTTCGACGGAAGAAATGCGTCAGCGACTAATGAGTTTGCAGTAACGAGACAAAAAATAATCATCTTGCCGCGTTCTGTTTACTATCTCGTGTGATACATATTCCATTTTTTTTCCGAACAACCGGATGCACTTGCCAATACTAGTCCGCTTGAGTCACACCGGTAAAAAAAAAATCGGTGTCACATATTTGCTCGTCGTGGGGTCAGACCGGTGAGACTTGCACTTGATTCTCAACATTTCAGAAATAAAATACTATTTTACCCTTTTGTTTATGAGTGACGAGTGTCGTAAAGTCCGCGGCATCTTGAAACTAATCTTCAAATATAATTTCAAATTCATTCGCGGTAGAAAACAATGAATACGAGGAATAGTAGGTGTCCTTTATCAAGATGATTGCGCGGAATATAGGCGTGTGTAGTGCTCAGTTGATCGAGTGGTTCTGCCTCATGGCTCCATAGGTGAGAGGCACACGCAAGTAAACCAATGGCCCCGACCTAAAGAGGCTGTACCCCAAGGTGGGAAACCAGGGTTCAATCTGCGTTTGTGGTGGTGGCCCGGAGACTTTTGCGCTTGTGTTCGCCCGGATGGTGGATGACGTACGAGTCTCTTCGTATGAGTTACAACGCCCTTTTCCCTTCTCCACGCCCGCTTCATCCGCCTACTGCTCGTTCCAAAAACATTACAAATTTCAAGACTAAATTCAAACTTCAATTGACTATTCGAATAATTGTTGACGATCCCGCGTAAAAAAAAATTTTAATCGGAATATTTTTTTTCAATTTTTCAGAAAATTTTTCCGAAAATTTTTTTTTATAATTTTTTCTTTTAATTATTATTACTTCTTTGATTTTTTAATATTCTAAAAAAAACGCCATGTAAATCATTGAAAAAAATTTCCCATACAAATTTTTGAAAAGTTTTCCAGAAATTTTTTGAAAATTTAGAAAAAAATATTCCGATTACAATTTTTTTAAAACCCGGGATAACAGACGGAGGTAAATTCATACATAACGGATTCGTTAATTCGCGACTAATTCAATTATCGTATGATCAATGTCTTTTATTCCGGGAGAATGTTGTTTAATGGTAATTATTAATTAGTCCTGAGCATTTGACTCCTTCGGTGCATCTGCATTTATTAAAAATATTATATCAGTTTACAGTTTGATGAACGAGCAGTCGCTCGTGTACTCACGCTATCTCGTCCTGCTTTAGCAAAATTTTAGTCCGTCAGAAGAAAGAGTTATTAATGTCCCCGTGGGTTGATTCTAGTCGACATTCCCCCGGACGCCTATTAATTAACCCAGCATGGCGGTCACTTGAGCTTTCACACCATCAGAATCATGGCATCTCCCCAAATGTTAACAAACTTCTGCAAAAAGTCCGGCAAAAATAGCCAATAAATAGCGCCCAATTAGCGTGAAGGATTGAATTAATGCCTGAGAGAGTAAGAATTGAGAAAAAAAAAATGGTGATTACTCTGCCCTCACCGTGTGCCCGTATTCAATTAATCCAACCGCCCTGATGTTAATCACCAAGGCGGAAAGTGCGAATAGATCTCGATGCGCGTACATAACTCATTCTCAACATTTTCTCCTCTTTTTTCCATCGAGTGTTGTTTTTTCATAATGATTCGTTATTCCTCCTCGGTGTTGTACGCTAAATAAAATCCACATGTAGTTCTGTGCTATGACTGGCCCGATGGTCAGCCATTGCGAGCACCACCTGCCACCCTGGGCTCCTTGAGACCGCGGTATGTGGTTACAACCGCAACAGGGCCCCTAGGAGTTTCCGCCAGTGGCCCCCATCCTCATCCGTCCGCTAAACCTCTTCGATACAAGTCCCGGAGAAAAGGTCACGTTTCAGGCATTACACGGGTTAAATCACTTGTTTTCATTATTTTATTTTCATGGAAAAATCTGAGTAGATTAAAACACCGATGAGGTGGCGGCCCTGATGGCTCCTCATCGGTGTTGAATCGGTTGGAAACGATCGGTACCTGTTCGTAAATGCCAATTTTCCCCGGGGTCTGGGTCGTGTCTCATGTTGACCTTGAATTTACCGGGGAGCGTTGGGGACCTTGGACCCCAGCTGTATGAAGATATCAGGGAAATCGTTATTGTCCGGTTGTACTCTTCAATTTACAATTCGTGGACAAAAAAATTG